TTTTGTTTAGATCCTGTAGGCAAATTTTGAAATTATTTTTATTATTTATTTTAAAAAGGTCGCGGTAAGAAAATTTCTTTAGAAATTCATAACTTCTTTATCTGACGTCAGTTTTTGCCAGACTTTTTACCGCTGAAATACCATTGTCGAGACCTTCGATACTCGTTTAGGTCATTCCGGCCAAAAGTCGCTCGATCTCCAATTCGAGTTTGTAGCCGTTTGTCGTTAAGCCGAACTTGGAAAATTTCTAACTTTCTTATACGAAGTCAGATTTGGGCGTTCTTTTTTCGTACGATCACGGTTTAATGACATCTAACATAATAGGTAATTTAATTAGTGATTTTTGGATATTTTATTTTCGAAGTTAATTTTTATTATAACGAACGTGGTTACAATACTTGACTTTTTAGGTCATTTACATGTAGTTGAAATATCGGGTTGTCACAACGTTGCTCTTAGCTATGACACACCTATACATCGATTTAGGGATGGAACTGACAAACGTGAACTTTGTAGGATCAGAAACGATGATTTATGTTGTGTGAAAGGTCGCAATAGAAGATTACAATGTGTCCTCCATGACTAGAATTTGAAAGTGCTCCGTTGCTCTGCAAGTAATTAACGTCCAGAATCTTCCATAAGAAATTTTGGAGTGTTTGGAAGAAGAATTAAGACTTTGCACCAATTGAGACCAAATCAAGGATTCATAATCTAGATTGATCCCATGGTGAAGACCATAAAGAATAGTCATAAATCCCTTGCTGGCACCATCAGACCCAACAACCATCATTAATCCACCATTTAATTTGGTTAAAAAAATAGTTTAGCAATAAAGGTATTATTGTCACTTTTGGGTCAAAACACAAATGAGACAAAGGAGTTCTAGTTCTAATTCTAATTAATAAACATCAACCAATTTACATTTTTTTAGGGGAGAACCAGTAGCAACTGCCAACTAGAATACACTACTTCGAGCAAATTTCGAAGAAACCTTTTTTCTCATTCAGGCAACTAACTTTAGGGTATTGAGCACCAGACAACAAAACGTAAATTATAACCTTTAATGCATGAACTTTGAGAGGTTGAAAGGTATGTGGAAGGAGGTTACTCAGGCTGTGAAGACCTGTATAGGCACATGGGGAAATCAGTAATTTAACATTAAAAACGATAAATTAGAAAAAACTTGAAATACTAAGTTGCAAATAAGCAAACTACTGTTTTTTATTTCTGTTTTTCCAGTATGTTTACTGAGAAAAATAACGCTGGCCAATGGTCATGTTGATGAACAGGCCAAAAATTGACCTAAATAGTTAAAATAACAAAACTGGTCCAAAAAAGAAACTTTCTACTAGAATTGGGACGTTTAAAAAAACTAAAATTCTGATTTTGTTTTTACTAAGCGGAATATAATGTGCAAATTGTCCATTTTGGTCATTTTGAACAACATGCCAAAAATGGACCTAAATAGACAATATAACCAAAAGGGTCCAAAAGCTAAACTTTATACTAGTAATGCCAAAGTTTCAAATATCTTAAATACTAAATATTTCATGTTTTACCGTATAAACCTACCAAATTTGACAAATTGTCATTTTGAACAAAATGCCCGAAAAAGAGTTAAGTAGTCAAAATGACAAACACGGTCGAAACACCTTAAATTGGACCTATAATGTGAAAATGTTGAATACATAAAGTATAAGTTCTCTATGATTAAGCTGAATAAAATGACCAAATTGACCATTTTGGTCTTTTTGACCAACCAAAAATTGACTTAAATTGTCAAAATGACCGAAAGGATCCAAAAGCTAAAAATTTAGGAGTAAAGCTATGTTTTTAATGTCCAAAAAAATGATTTTTTTACTGTTTTACCGGATGAAACCACCAAATTGGGCCAAATGGTCATTTTGAACAAAATCCCAAAAAAAGGCTTAAATGGTCAAAATGACCAACACGTTCCAAACACTTTAATTTGGATCTATAATGTGAAAATGTTGAATACCTAAACCATAAGTTCTCTATTATAAAGCTGAATTAAATGACCAAATTGACCATTTTGGTCTTTTTGACCAACTAGCCAAAAATGGACCTAAATGGTCAAAATGACCAAAAGAATTTAAAAGCTAAATTTTTTACTAGTAAAGCTATCTTTTTTAATGTCCAAAAAACTGATTTTTTACTGTTTTACTAGTTCACCTGACAAAAATGACTCAAATAAGTTTTGTTGAGCAAAAACTCAATAAATACAATTAAAATTACCTAAATTTAATAGAATGATTATAATTCCCTCTTGAAATAACACCAGGATCAAGGATTCTCATGTTCCTGATACAAACAAACGAAATCATTAGAATCAGAAAAATGTATATAAACATGTAAACATGGGATGTTCACGGTTGAAATAAAACAAATGATAGAATTAGAATGTGAATGAGAAATTTATACCTTATGTATGATTATACCCGGACAATCAGTCCGAAAATAATCATTTCGTGATTCTTTACGCAAGTCAAGTAGATCTACACATGGCAATATATTGTCATTGTGAGGAAAAAGTACAGTACTAAATTCCTCATCGACGTCGTCATATGTATCTCTATAATTTTTGGGAGGTGTCATGAAGACAATTGACGTTTTTTTTATTCAGTTAGTCTGTAACGTAGAATACTTGTCGTGCTTGTGAAGCTAATATGAATGGATCATCTTTGTGGCCTAACCTACCAAGTTCAACCAATGTGTACCCAATCGGATCCTTCTTGACTCCGTTTTTATTGTCAACCCAATCACACATGAAAAGAGAAATTTTTTTAAAATGATAATCTAGTACCCATATCTCTTTTAAAACACCATAATAAGAGTTTTGGTCATAGGTTACAACCTCTTTAGAAATATGTGTGTCAGTTGCCACTACACTAACCCCGCTGTTTTGATGAACTTTACCTTCACGACATTTTGTACGTAATGTATATCCATTGATGTCATACGCATCATATTTCAGTACATTGGTGTTTGGTCCATGTGAAATCCACCTAACGGTCTCTGATACACTTTGTTTTGAGACCGATAACTCTTTTTAAACTTGAAGCATATTAGAAGGATAAGCTTCAACTCATATACAACAAAGAAAAAAATAACTTCAATATGAAAATAATAGACCTCCTCTCGTAACCATTGACCAAACATTTTACTGTGCTCATTCTCTAGCCATGCATTTCGTTTAAAAGGGTGTTGGTTTTTCAGAAATGCCTTGTGTCGATTGTAAATACATTGATTAATATTATAGTAGATACACAATATTATAAAATTTTAAAATAAATACATACATGTAAGTAATACTTACTTAATATATGGTACAACTTCAGTTGTATTTTGCATTACATAGAAATGTGCTTTGATGAAGAGGTCCAGAGAAACTTGAACCGATCGACATGCTGATATTGGAGTGCCATCCCTAAGAGAAATACTATAATCATTATTCTGACTTCCAAAATTGTTGTGCTTCTCAGGTGGAATACCAACAATATTCATATTTTTTTGGAATTCGCTTAAAAACTCAATCGTCTCTTCTGCAATATTCTCTTCTGCAATGCAACCTTCTGGTTTATTTTTATTCCGCACATGCCCCTTCATAACCTTCATACACCTTTTGAATGGATACATCCATCGAAAACATACTGGACCACATAATTTTACTTCCCTAATCAGGTGCACAGTTAAATGAACCATAACATCAAAAAATGATGGAGGAAAGTATTTCTCAAGCAGGCACAATGTGACACATAATTCTTCTTGCAACTTATCAAGCTCCTTAACTTTTATTTCTTTGCTACATATTTATTTGAAAATGAAACAAAATCTGGTAATAGCATCTCTTGTGGATTTCAGCATAATAGATCGTATTGCAATGGGCAAAAACTGTTGCATGAGCATGTGATAGTCATGTGATTTAAGTCCGATAAGCTTCCTATCCTTTAGACTCACCAAACTAGAAAAATTAGAACAATGCCCTTGTGGAACCCTTAAATTGTATAATGTTTCACAAAACATGGTTTTTTCCTCCGTTGTTAATGTGTAACTTGCTGCCAGAAGTGTGGTTTTATTTCCTTCAATACGAGCTTGTAAATCTGGCTTTAACCCAAAATGTGTCAAATCCAATTGAGCCTTCAATCCATCTTTTGTTTTGCCAGGAATGTTGAACATTGTTCCAACTAGACTCTCACCTACATTCTTTTCGACATGCATAAAATCTATACAATGATGGACAAGATTGTGCTGCTAATACCTAAGACATCAATACCATATATTATACTTCTTCCAATATGTGTTTTCTTTGTTGCTAACATCTGAATTACACACTTCATTTGATGTTCTTTTTCTTCTTTTTATCTTCCCACCTCTTCCAGTCGAAGTTTTTTGGATGTCTGATTCTTTATTATTAGCTCCCTTTCCCCATTTATTTATAACATATTTGACATTGTCAAAAATTTCTTCACACTCAAAGGTTTTGGAGCAGTTGTAAACTCATGTTTTCCATTGAACGCATTCCTTTGACTTCTGAAAGGATGCTTATATGGTAGATATCGTATGTGACCAGCATAACTCTGCTTCTTTGATTTAGGAAGTCTAATACAATGCGTTTGTTCCCCACAAACTACACAACCTTTGTATCCGCTGTAAGGACAACCACATAGTGTACTTATGAGTCCATCCCTCTGGAAATAATGAGGTTATGAAATCAAATGTGCTTTTTATTCCATTCATTCTGTATTTATTGAGTATTTGTTACGATAGATCTAGCAAAGTCCATCAATTGCATATTAAGTTTTTTATTTAAAATATAGGTTTGCTTATGATAATGCTTGCAGTAAGATTAATAGAATGTATTTTTTTACTTTATTTGCTTCTTTTGGTTCATGTTGATAGGATTTTTGCATTTTGTTGTATATGATTACTAGGTTAATAATAAAGTACATGCCAAAGATGAAATACTCCCCCGGTCATTAATGTGGTGTAAAGGAGGTGAAAACAAAGCAAGCGAATTGGAAGATGCTAATGTTAAAGTCATGGCAGAAAAACTAGTAAGTTCATTAAAACTTTCTCCTTTATTGTTTTATTACTATAATAAATACTAGACTTGTTAAATAACTATTGAAGATATTATTTTGATATATTTTTTTGTATAGATGGAACATGAAAAACAAATCAAAGATGGAGATATGAAGCTTGATCGTGAGATGGATGCGATGAAACTAGTCTTTGGCAAGGAAAATGGTGGATTCCTAAAAGGGGTTGGCACAGGAGTGACTGCTAACAGATATTTCCACATTCCTAGAACCAAAGGATCTTCAAAAGAATAAATTGTCGACCTAAATTTTGAACTACAGAATGAGAGACTTGAGCTGCAGAAAAAATATGAAGAACTTAAGGCGTTGACAACAAAGGTGAGAGAACAAGATAATACACTAAAGTTAGTTTTAGCTCATCTTGAATCACAAGGAACAATGATACCTAATCTACCATCTCATCCGAATCAGTCTCCAACACAAGTGAGTTGTTACTGTTTCTGCAAAATGCATTTATTATATAAATTGATCATTTTCCTTAAATTTTGTAGGCATTTTCAGTGGAGAAGAACATTGACTCTCATGCCACTCCTGTTACTAATACTATTAAAGAGAAAACACCTATCACAAATAAAGCATCGACAAATGAAACAGTTACACGAGTAAGTAATTAATTGACAAATTCTTTGATTTTAATATTTTTTTGCAGTATTTTCTGATTTTAATATTGAATTATTGTTTTCTAGGTAATGGCAAAAGCCACCAAAATAACTGTTGAATCTAAGAGTGCGACTACAAATTCACATCCAAAAACAAAAGATACTCATTCACCAAAACTCTCACAGGTATGTATTTGTATTTTGACATGAAAATATAAATTTATGTTTATTGTTTTTTTTATCTAAATATGTGCAATCATTGTAGACAATGAACACAATGAAGTTCATTCTACAATATCCAAATAATAGAAGTAATCTTGCTTTTGGTACCGTTTACATATCTTCGGAAAGACAAACCATCCATCGAGTTTCACTTCAAGACGACTGCTATAAAGTTTTAATTGATGAAATCATAAAGGGAGCTGCATTTTTACCATATCCAAACGGTGATATCAAATTAGTTGAGGATGCACATAAAACTTTTGTTGCATGGCCAAAATACCTTGTCAAATATGACGAAAGGTTTATTTCTTCTATTAACTTCTTTATGCATTATTCTTTTTCCTTTTTAAATTAGTCTTTTAAATTAATAGTTGTTCAAATTTCTTTCAATGTTTTTTCAGGTACCACGAATGGGATCAACTCAAGATGATGAACATAAAAGCTCCAAGAAACAAAGAAAAAGTTTAACTCAAGATGATGAACATAAAAGCTTCAAGAAGCAAATATATATATATATATATATATATATATATATATATATATATATATATATATATATATATATATATATATATATATATATAACGAGAGATAACATTGGCAAGCATACAAGAAACACTTTCAACAAGACTAAAGAAATCTAGTTTTTGGTTAATTATGATTGTTTATTCCTTTCTTTAACATTTTTAATAAACATGTTTTGATTACAAGGATTTTTACCATTTAATTAGTGAAATTATGAATGAAAAAATTTATTTGAATTATTATTATTATTCATATTTTCTTGTCGTTTCATATTGTCCATTTACGGTTATGTTTATTTAACATTGTTTTTTTATTCCATGTGTATAATAATTTTATCATCATGCTTTATTTTGTTGTCACTAAAATGTATATAATGGTTACTTCACAACAAATGTGTCGTGTGACTAAACGGCTAACAATAGTCATGATAGAAACTCAATATGCGTCTGCAAGTGTTTTACAGTCATTTTTTGTTAAACATGTGTGACTAAAAGTAAAACAAATACAACCTTGAAAATTTGTGGGTCGGAAAAGATACATATGTCACTTTATTTAATAATCATATGACTAATAGTTTATGTATTGTTATATTTAAACAATACTTTTGAGTCAAAATCTTAAAAAAAAAACGACATGATAAGATAAAACTAAACAATAGGGTAAATATAGTCATGGTAAATGAAATTGTGTGTCGATACAACACTAATGGTTACAATTGCATTGGTTTGCGATATCTAAATTATGAGCAATAGCCACATTGAAAACTATAGGTGTGTCTAAAGGATAAAAAATGTTATGGTTATCAAAATTTTGTGTGACTAAATACTAAACACTAAGGACGATAAACATTAGTTGTGTGTCTACAATGATTTTATAGTCATGTTTTAATTTAATATACGTGAACAAAAAACTAAATAATATTATTAATGTAGATAATTGTGTGTCAAAATCATAACATGTGTCACTTATTTCTACCTTCATGTGACTGTATGTTCGACAATAGTCATAGTTGTAAAAACATTATATAACTATATGACATTTACAACTATGGTTTAAGTATGTATGTGTGACTACAATAAAAACAATAGTAACAATCTGGAATTTTTTAATGTCTAAATGATAAAATCGGTCACACTTAAAACAAATTATTATGTTCATAAGGTGAACATTGGCCACTATTATATATACTTTTGTTTCTATAAATCACTTACAGTTATGTTTAATTGATTTCCTATGTCGAAAAGATATAAAATAGCCACACTTACTACGTTTTATGTGTTTGAATGATAGCAATAGTCATGATAAATTATATGTATGTGATTGTAAGTTATAAGATAATCATAGTAAAAAATATAGTATGTGTCTTTAAAATACTTTTGGTCATTAAAAACATAAATTTATGTGACCATTTTGGGAACATGGTGATGAGTTGCTTAATTATGTGTGTCTAAAATTATGTTAATAGTCATACCAAATAATTTTGTGTGACAATTTATTAGCAAAACGTAATAGTGATATTAAATTCATGTGGACATTTGATGAACATGGTCATGCAATGCTTAATTTTGTGTCTCTAAACGATAGTCTATAGTCATAATGAAATTTTCTTTTGTGACCAATTAATAGCAATACGCCACACTAAAAATAATTTCGCGTAACCATTACATGAAAGATAGTCACTAAAATAAAAAGAATGTGTGTCTAAAAAGTGTTTACGACCACAATATTGGATAAAATGATAGTGTACAACAACAAAAATCTCTACCCTATAGCCACACTTTTATGCTATGGTCACAGGTTTTCATATGTTACAGCCACTAAATTTAAAAGTGGATGTATGGTGCCTAAAATGGCACGACCTTCGGTGACACTTCCGATGAAAAAAAAAAGTTGTGACTATAGGCATATGGTCACAGTTTTTTGGTGTAACCATAGCCCACTTTTGTACTACTGAAATAGACTTATAATTAGCTCTTTGAGTCCTAAAGAAAGTTGTAGTACTCGAAAATACCTACGCGTGGATAAAAAGAACGTCAAAAATGGAGCTCTTATGCAAAAGTTATGGCCTTCCGAAGATGCAGCCATCTAAGGGCGTGACACGTGGCAGAAACCCTAGCCGCCTTAAGTCATGACGTGGACATCAAGGCCACGACGTGAAACGTGTTTGGGACACTAATCGGGGCTAGAAAACACGTGTTAAAGCTACGGGGTGACTCATGGATGGCCACGACGTGAAATGGCCCAAAACAGCCTATAAATAGCCATTTCGACCCCAACACTCCTTACACCATTTCTCTTATTTCTATCTCGTTTTCCGAAGCCGTTTCCGCTTCCCGAGCCTGACAACAACGAGTCTCTGACCATTTAGATTTTATATATCACGCTACTAGGGTGAGTTTCACGGCCCCACTTTCTAATATTTTCGAGGGAAAACACATGCTAAATATTGTATATACGTTACTATTAGGTCTATATGATGGTATATTAGTATCAATATAGATAGTTATATTAATCGAGATATAGTTGTTCTAAATAGAATATTTTGAAAATATACAACTATTGTCAACTTGTTAGCATGCTATCGTTATAGAAATATATTAATGTAGATCTTAAGTTATACTTAAGATTCTATATATGTTGTGTGCGATATAGTTCCGAAGTTATATTCGGAAGTTCTATATGTTAAAAAGTATGTATGTTGTCATTTTTGGTTTTATATCAATATAAGACTTATTATGTTATATGTTGTTGTTATTATTGGTTTTATGTCAAGTTATAGTTGTTATACTGCCTAAATGTTATGAAGTTAGGAGTAATGTTTAAAAGCAAAGTCTAGTAACTTAAGGTTTTAGACACGGAAATGATTTTGTTGTTAGAGCTATAGGAAGTCGTTAAAGTCTACATGAGTAATTGTATTCATCAACTAAGATTGGGGATCTTAGTGGAAATCCTCTGAATTGTAACCGTTAATCCCGTGTGAGCAAGGAAGTCATGTATAATTAGTATACGGGTTGACAACCCCACTTGTGATTGTTAGCTACAGTCAACCATAAACAAGTGACGAACTATCCTTTTACTTGTTATTGTTCCGGTGTCGATGAATCGTACGGTGTTGTTTCTCTTGGAAATCATGAGTGTATTAATTGTTTCTCATGGAAATCACGAGTGTATTTTATCAGAGGTATTGTGTCATAGCAGCAGTTACAGGCTCATGGTAGCAATTTGTTAGAAACCTTATACTTTATCATATACAAGTATTAATGTTATGTATAAGTTTCCCCCTACTTATACTCTAGGTTCAAAGAACGTTTAGGTATAACACTTATTTGATAAGTAGAATATTATACCTGATATATATACTAAATATTGAAGATTCAAAATGATACTTTCAAAACTATACTTCTGAACTTGGAAAATGTGTTATTTTTATAGAGAGTCAAAACCTGTGGACTCACCAACTTTATGCTGACGTGTTTTTAAAATGTATGTGTATTCAAGATCTTAAAAAGCTGGTATGTATTCGAACATGAGAAGTTTTACTATTATCTTTCTGTTCATTAAGAAGTATGCCATAGTCAGATATTATATAATAGGTTCTAGAAAAACAGTTATGTAACTTTTAGTTATCAATAAAGGTATGTACTTTCTTTAGTACTTTTCAATGTATGTTATATAACTGTGATATGAAGAATCACATTGCACCACTCGATGTTTCCACCGACAGTGTGTCCAAATGTTGGGAAAACCCAAGTTGACTCATCGAGTCGCCTCACTGACTCGCCGCATCCATGTAGAAGTCCTTGCACGAAAATCTTCATTGGACTCACCGAGTTGCCCATGCAACTCACCGAGTCCATTCGGTCCATTATCCATCCAGATGCTTTTTAAGCCATTTTATGGTCCCATATTCCAGATCCAACTTCCCAATGCATGTTTATCACGTAAAGTTGCAAAATTTACGTGCATGTAAAGCTCATAATGTCAAACCCCGATGGAAATGAAGTTTTACACTTAAGGAGGGGTTCATACTTGCTAAAGCTGAGAGCTTTATGGTCTTAGGGATCAAAGAGAGTTCAGATCTGAAGTTAAAACTTCTAATCTTAGCTCATACCCAAGAATAGCTTCTTATTGTGCTAGAAAATCCCTAATCATTAACCAAATGATATCTAGAATTAAATGAGGTCAAGGTAACGATTTGATACCTTCCAAAAGATGTCAACTAAGGTAGATATCAAATCCCCACATGTTCCTTGCTTCTAGCCACTTGCTCTCCAAGCTCTTCTTACAAAGATCCACCTTCCAAAGCTTAAAACACACAAAAATGAAGCACACACACGGATTAAGGTTTTTTGGACTCTTAAGAGGCTGTAAGGGGGCTGAAGGAGGCTTATGATCCTTTAAATAGGGTGCAAAACCCCAAAAATTAGGGTTTCATCCTCCAGCTCCTACTCGTCGAGTCCTATCTTGGACTCGGTGAGTAGGTCAATTAAACATGTGGCCCAAACCGCTTCTACTCGATGAGTCAGGGCATCCAACTTGTAGAGTAGACCTTGCAATTTATGAAAATTAAATCTATAAAATTATCACCTAAGAGTCAAGGCGTTACATCTCTTGTTTAACTATTGAACAATTACATCTTAGGTTCTTGCACTTTTAATTAATCCAATTAATCCCAGAATTAATTCCAATTAATTTTTGATTAATTATTAATTAAATAATATTATTTTTGATTAATATATTAAACTCATAATATAGTAATAAATTATTTATTGCTCTTTATTAATCTTATAATAAACCAATAAATCAACATCTCTCTCCAAAAAGTCATTTTGTTAATTACTTGTTTTGAGAGCAACCCAAAAAGACTTTGCTTTTAATTCGAGTATATACTAATTTAATTTTAGTCTTGGACACCTAATCCAACAATCTCTCACTTGGATAAGTTTATAACTCCAATTGCAAGTATAACTTCTAAATTAAACAGCAAAAGGTGCTTTCCAAAGCAAAT